GACCCACCTTCAACTCAGAGAAAGAAATAATTTGGGGCTGGGGATGTGGCTCAAGCGGTAGCGCGCTTGCCTGGCATGCGTGCGGCCCGGGTTCGATCCTCAGCACCACATACCAACAAAGATGTTGTGTCCGCCGAGAACTAAATAAAATAAATATTAAAAATTCTCTCTCTCTCTCTCTCTCTCTCTTTCTCTCTCTCTCTCTCTCTCTACTCTCTCACTTTCTCTTTGAAAAAAAAAAAAAAGAAATAATTTGGGGCATACAATCCCTCTAACAGTCACCTTTTATGAGGATAAGAGATTTATTAGTAAGTGAAAGATAAAGTAGCAAAACAGTTGGTATTTGTGTCCCACATAATAAAAAGTATGAATGAAAATATTAGTATCTGTGTTGGAAAACTATCAGGGCTGTCTGGGAGCAGGAGTTACAACAAAGGATTAAAACACTGGATTTCTGAGGTACAGGGGAGATTAATGAGGGCTTCCACATCATATGCTTCTGAATATGTGGCCTGAACTGTCTATGAGGAAATTCTGTACTTAATTTACATGATCTGAGTTATCTAGAAGAAATATGCATTCATAAACCCAAAAACAGCCAGACACGGTGGCATATAGCTGCAATCCCAGCAACTTGGGAGGTTGAAGCAGGAGGATCACAAGTTCCAGGTCAGCCCCAGCAACTTAGGCAAGGCTCAGCAACTGAAGGAGACCATGTCTTAAAATTTTAAAAATCTAAAAACAAATAAATAAATAAGGGCTGGGGAACTTAACTCAGTGACAAAGTGACCCTGGTTTAATCCCCAGTACCAAAACAATCAAACAAAAAAAAAGAAACAAACAAACAAAAGGGAAAAAATAACAAAGAGATTTTTAAACAAGAGTCTCAGTTCACATCACATGTTCACATTCAACACAGTCCATTTGAGCAGCACTCACTGCATCTAATGATGGGCCAGGCCTAAGGCTGTGCAGAGACAGCTGCTGTGTAGGGGCTGAACACAGGATGTGGAAGCAGAGAGATGACCTGTATGTGGCCTTCAGAAAATCACCTAATCTCCTCTTTTTAAAACCAAGATGTGACAGCAATTGTAAAATACAAATGATGGAACAGATATAGAGTTTCTGGACATGTGCACATCACTGGGTAGCATCTCACACAAGCCCTGACAGCCCCAGGAAATCTGTAGCTCCATTTTACAGAGGAAGAAACAGAGGCTTGGACAGGTGGACAGGAAAGCCCAGATCACATTGACAGTAGGTTTTGGAGACAGGATGAAATTCTGTGTGACTTCTAGGTCAGAATATCTCCATCCAGTGCTGTCTGCCCTATCATTGCTCAGCCCCTCTTTTTTTCAGATGGGAAATGGGAAGGGTCAGTCTAGCACACCTGAGAATTATCTACATGGTGCATGCAATTATTGTCTCTCCTACTAGAAGGTCAGCATCATTGTTTGGATTCTGTTCACTGTTATACCCCTAGCAATTAGAACGGGGCCTGACATTTCATAGGTACTAATAACTCTATGTCAAATGAATGGGAAAATGAAAGAATTCCCTAATAAAGGATGAAAGGAAGAGACCTGAAACCCATGAGGAGAAGCATCATCCTTCAAGGTCACAGGACCAAAAGAGTAGAGCAGGACACACCCAGGTCCCTAATTTTTCACTTAGTCCTGGTTCTGCCAAATCCAACAGCCTCAGTTCATCACCCCCGCCCTGTCCCTGGCTGCTAGGACCACAGGAATAAGTTAGTCTGGTTCAGGAAAGGGTCAGGGCAAAAGCACAGATGGCACCATCGAACCTGCCTAGACTGCTGCCTGTTAGTGCTGTTTGTTCCTCAGTTTCACAGGCACCTGCCTCTCCACTGACACCGGGTGGGGAAGGATTCAAGAAGAATGTGCAGAGTTGGTCCTTTCTCTCTCCTTCCCTCCCTCCTCCTTCAGGAGAGGCCAGGCAGACCTGAGGGGCACAGGAGTAGGACGGAGCTGTGAGAAGGTTCCTCTGACACAGAGCCCAGGATCAGGGATGGGAGGCATCTCATTAATCCAACATCACCCCTGCAGACTGGATGAGATGCAAAGGTACAGATAATGGATGCAGACATGCAGGAAGTAAGGGGAGGCCAGGTGGTGGTACAAGAACCTCAGGGCTGTGCCTTGCCTGAGCATAGGGAGACCAGGGACAGAATCCCTCTGCTCCACACAGTAATGGTCCCATTTCTTCATCCTGATCCAGAGGAGCTAAGGGTCTACAGGTTGAGCTGGACAGACAAGTGGGGCCAGGGCCGCCAGCTCTGACCACAGCCCTGACACCCAATGCAGGTCCTGGAAATCATGTTGGGCTTCCCAAGGCACTTGCTCCCCAAGGGGCCTGAGCTTTGGCAGGAGGCCCTCATAAGACCTCAGCTCTGTGTCCCACAGACTGCCATCAACAGTCAGGGACCTGGAGGGACAGGCCTCACTTCCTGGGGACTGATGAAGCTGACAGGAGAGGTGAAACAAGGTGGGAGCTGGATCAGCACTACAGCAACTCTGCTATTAGACCCCACAGTGGTTCTGGGGCCCAATCTTTGGGGTTGGGCCTGGGCCTCTAACACGGAAGAGATCCTGGTTCGTGTCTAATCCCCACCTACATCCTTGGTAATTACCAGTTAAAACTACTCTGGCTGAGAGAGATCTAGAGTGCAGTGAGTGCATCAGAATAAAGAAGGCCCTTCTGAGGGTGCCGCCCACAGCCAGGGCTGCACAAAGACCTGCTTGTTAATCCCACAGCCTCAGAGGCCCAGATCCCAAAGAGACATGCAGAGAAGATGGAGGAAGAAGATGGGATTTGGAATCCACAGCCATGGACAGCATCCTGAACTCTCTGTGTGGCCCTGGGCTGGCTATTTAACCTCTCTGAATCCAGAAAATGGGGCTGGCAGAATAGTCTCACATGTTGTTGTCTGGACTAAATGAGGAATTGAAGGCTGTGAAAGTTCAAATGGTCATTTTTCTTCTAATCACAGATATAAACATCTTTTGGTTGCCTTTCAGAATCCATTTCTGGTTTCCTTGTGTTCGAGACACATGGAGATGATCCTGTCACATCCACACAAAGGCTAGGTCACGGCTGGAAGGGACCAAGGTCAGCAATGGTTAGGCCCAAGTTTACCCTCCAAGGGGAGCTGGGCCAATGCTGATTCTGCCCCTATGTCAACCAATCACATAACTACCCTGAGGACAGACTGCTAGGATCTGAGACTCAAAGCGGGCAAGAGACTTTCCCAAGGTCAGTCACAGAGGGGTGGGCCCCACTTCATTTACAGCAACTGCTCCCATCAGAGCTGTGAGTGTCTTGATCCAGGGGATGCTGGGGAAAGCAGGACATGGGCTGGACAGTGACTCATTCTGATGGGCGGCTCCCCTAGGGATGTTCTTAGGCAATTCCATCCACAGCTCTTCTTGGTTCTGAGCCCCGGGTCAGCCTGTCCTGAAGATGGAACTCCAGTCCCAGTTCCACATATGGCCTCCTCTGTCCCACCTCCCCACCCTCTAAGCAGGAAGGTGGCATCTGTTCCATAGGCCAGAATCCTATGCCTGGCCCTGGGCTCCCAGTGCTGGTTTACAGCTATCTCCTGCTGTTTGCTCCCCACTTCAGCCTACCACCAGCTCTGAATGTGGGGAGCAGAGGCTGGGCTATTTCTTCTTTCTGCCTTTATGTAGGAAACAAATGGCTGAGGACCCCACAAATCCTGCTGCTGCCAGGTTCCCTGTGTTCCTCTCCCTAAGCCCCTCAGAAAGTTCTCTCCACTCTAAAAACCTAATGTAACTACAGAAGTCACCTCCCTGAGCACTGGATAGAGAACCTGACAATCTAGGCCTGTCTTGGCTGGGCCACACAGAAGCCATTTATCCTAGGGGTACCTTTGCCTCTTTGGGCCCCTCTGTCCTCACCTGGGTGGTGGGGATGGAGACCATGGCTGTTCACAGGACTGCTGGGAGGAGTGACGCTCTGTGTGGAGGGGGCTGGCAGCCATGGCAAGGGTCCTGTCCCTTGATATCACCCCATCACATGGTCCCCAGACCCAGCCTGCTGCCTGTTACAGCCCAAGCCCCTGCCTGTCACTATCTACAGAAGGGAGGCAAAGTGGATGGAGGATATGACCAATAGTAAATATTCATGACTCTGCATTCAAGAGTAGTAGTGAAAGTGTCTTTGAGATCTTTGGGAGAACTCAGACTCAGTTTAGAGAAATTTCTACAGACAGAAAGAGCCAAGCTTTTTCTGGGAGAGAGAAGAGGATCTAAGCTGTCCCTTGGGTCATTCACAGGCCTGGACACTCACTCCCTGCCAGGCCACAGCCCAGGTGCAGGAAGCTGTCTGTCCACTCCTTCCCCAGCCCCTCCCTGACAGCACACTCCACCCACAGGCTCAGTGCTGCACAGGGAAGAATCTGCTATGTGAGGACTCAGGCTTGTGGGTCAGCTCTGGTCACTTTGATGATGACCACAGGCTTTCACGCTGAACTTTGTCCCTCTCCTCAGTACTGCCCTTATCATACTGATAGCATCACAGGCTCTGTTTACTCACCAGTCTTCTCAGGACCCAACTGTCTTCCTGGTGCCACCCAGGTGGTCCCAACATCACCAGATTCCTAAACCTGGGTGTGGTTGGAGACAGGGTGAATGCATCCCCCTGAAAGTCCACATCCTGCCTGCTCCTGTCCACCTCACAGCTCAGACAACCCCAAGACATCCCTTAGATTTTTCATTCCCTGACCACTGTAGTCCCTACTCCCCTGCAGGACCTGTCTACTGCTCCCTGACTTTTCGTCCCAGCCCTGGGCCGGCAGGCACTGCTCAATGATGCGCATACACCCCTGCAAACCCATTCACTCTCCCAGGGGCCTGCCTGGGGGCGCTGTCACCTTCCAGACAGCCCGATACCCACTCCCTTCCTGGAGGGCATAAGGTCACCCCGAATTCCCGACGCCATCCTTCGCTGACTGCACTCACCCATATTGACGAAGCTCATGACCAGATCGGCGCGGCCCAGGTGCCGCTCCGGGGATCCACCGTCCTCGTCGTCGTCGCCAGCCATGGAGTGGTAGAGGTCCAGCATGAAGAGCGGCGCCGACGCGGGCAGCCGGGCAGCAGCGGGTGGCGCGCGGGGCCGGGGCCGCCCAGGAAGCCCCAGCACCGCCAGGATCTCACGCTGCATGTCTCGGCGCTCACGAGCGCCCAGCCGACGCTGAGGACAGCTGTGTGGAGGGCGCGGGCCGGGGCTGCCTCCCAGAGCGCACAGCGCCAGACCCAGGAGCCAGAGCGGTCCCCGATGCGTGGCCATGGCAGGCGAGTTAGGGACGCTCAGTCGGAGCGCATCCGCTCAGCAGACCGACGGGCTAACGCCCCGACGGCTAGCAGGGAGCTAAAATCTGCCAGCCGCAAGGCGCGGCCAGAGTCGCCTGAGGCCAAATTCCCCAAATCCCCTCCGCGCGGCACCTGTCCGGGCTCCGGAATGTGGGGACGCGGCCACCAAAGTTAAGGGGCAGAGGCTACAGTAGAGGCTGGGGACTGCCTACTAATCCGTCCGTCGCCGCCGGGCCAGCCAGTCCCGCTGATGCCGAGGTCCGCGCCGCAGGCAGGGGCGGCGGACAAACTCGGTGGCGAATCCGGAGGCGTGGACCTGTGAGTAGTCTCCTCGAGTCTTGGCGGTCTGCACCCGCTGGTTGGGCAGCCACCGCCCTTGAGCCCCGCCCCATAACCAGTTCTGACCAATGGAGGGGAGGGGGCGGGGCCAAGGCGTGGAACCGACGCCAGACCTGGGCCCTGGGCTGTGGCTGGAGTAGACCACGATGGCATCCCCGAGGTGCAGCCCTGGAATTGGGGTTGGAACTGGGTATGGATGGTGGATGGGCTGTGCGAGGGATCCTTAGATTGAGCTTTAGTGTCATCGGGGTTGTCCTGGGCACCCTACCCAGCCTCTGGCGCGCAGCTTGGAAAACCCAGGGTCTCAGCGCTGTGCCTGGAAAGCAGGAACCTGTCGCCCGCGGGGCGTATCCTTCAGTGTTCAGCTGGGGCTGAGTCCTGGTCTGGCCAGCAGTGTGACCCGCAGGCCCACTTAGTACGCTGAGAAATGCCACTAGGACCAACTCGTGCCCTCAGGGGCCTCTGGAGAGCCCGGTCAGGTGCCAACCATTCCGCGGGAATGGGGCACGTTCCCCTGCCAGCAACAGCCGGGCGCAGGGTCCCAGCCACCGCAGTTCTTCGCCGCCTCCGGGCGCCTTCCGGGAGGTCCACTTGCTTGCACTGCTGTGGACGTCTCCTGCTCCTACACCTGCTCAGCCACTTTTCCCGTCCTTCCCCCTGGCTAGCAATAGTGATGCTGTGCGCCCTGCGAACTTAGCTGCGAGCTGCAGTTGAGCACCAGTTTCCGTCTCCAGCCCCGTCTTTGGGACACTCCTAAGCCACTGCGAGCCACTTTTGTGCACCTTTTCAATTGTCACGGCCCCCAGGGGCTTTCCTTCCGGAAACACCCGAATTGACCCAGTGGCTTTCTGCACACTTGACGTTCCCAAAGGCTCCCTCACCGCATTGATTGAGGATGATTGAGGGGAGGAAGTGGCACCCAGACTGAGATAGGAGGGCTGAACGGAACTGGCCCCCGAAGAACAGGAAAGTTCGGGGAGGAAAGTGCTGCAACAGAGAAATAGCTGTGTTAAGACCTGGAGTTGGAGTGAGCATCATAATGGCAGCTCACAGCCGGAGCAGTGTTGCAGCCTGTAATCCCAGCGACTCTGGAAGCTGATGCTGGAGGATCAAATTCCGGGCCAGCCTCAACAATTTAGCGATACCCTGTCTCAAAAATTAATTAATTAATTAATTAATTAAAACTAAAAACTAAAAAGGACCAGGGATGTAATTCGGTAATAAGTGTCCCTGAATTTAATCCCTAGTACACAAAATAACGACGATGGTGAATATGATGATAAGGATGACAGTGGCTGGTGACAGCACTTGGAACATGCCAGGCATGTGTGTCCCGAACCAATTATACAATTTTCACATGTTATGGGGAACAACCTCTTTATAACAGACAAGGAAATGCAGAGGTTAAGGAACTTTTCCCAGGGCACACGACAGGGGAGCTGGGTTGGAGCAGGTAGGCATCTGTGAGTTAGTTGTTCAGTGGAACCTTGAGAGTTCAAGAGTTGAGAGCAAATTGCTAAGCCAGAAGGGCTACCAAGGAATGAACCACAAAGGGCCTCGCAGGGGGCTACATGAGAGCCTTGGGCACCTAGCAGTTACAGTGTCTTCCAAGTAGATTCAGGATTAAATGTCCACCCAGGCATGGTGGTGCTCACCTGCAATCCCAGCCACTTGGGAGACTGAGACAGGAGGATTGAAAGTTTGAGAGCAGCCTCAACAACTTCTAAAGACCTTATCTCAAATAAAAAAAGATCTGGGGGTATAGCTCAGTGGTAGAGCACCTCTGGGTACAATCCCCAGTAACATACAAACACACACACACACACACACACACACACACACACACACAAACAAACAAACAAAAAGACACAGATTAAATCTCCAAATAAAGGTATGCTGCCCTCTCAAACCACATTTTGATGTGATCACTTCAAAATATCAAACACAAGGAGATTCTTAATTTAATAATTTGCTGATGCCTTAAATACATGCCTAGCCCTTTACCCAATCCACAGCTATAAGACCCATAAAGAAACTGAACTTTAACCTATGGATAATGCAGATAGCTGTGGAAACTGCCTGATGTGAGGCCAGAGCTAGGATGCAGAGAGGAATGCGGATTGCTGGGAGGGAGACTGGAGTCAGGGTCTGAAGTTGGAGGCAGGTACAGTAATGGGGGAGAGAAGGGATTGGCAGTGAGCCTTTAATGATGATGGGATGGAGAGGCAGAGGAAAGAGTTGTTTAGGAGGCTGAATCCACAGAGTTTAGGGACATAGGGAGAGGGCAGGGATTGTCCAGGTCAGGGGCTGAGTCTCCTGCCCACAGCCCCTTCACTGTCCTCTTTGCACCTTGTGCATCCCCCTACACTCCCCTGAATCCACACCACAGCATTCAGAGCCTTCAGTCTAACTGGTAATTCCCGGATTAAGTTTTGTGCAATGCTGGGCTCCCGGTTAGACTGCAAGCAGCCCAATATTGAGCTGATTCTTAGGGCAGAAACTATGTGTCTCAATTTAGGATGAGTGGAGATAGCTGTGCACTCTCAACAACAACTTTACATTTCTATAAACCTAAACAACAGGTTTAGGTTTTAGCCACACAAAATAACTTGGCCCACAGTTTAATTCAATAACACCTAAGGCAGGCTGCCCTGCGCTGGGCTGTGAACCAGAGAGGTAGCAGACAAGACTCTGCTCTTGATCCATTTCTACTCTGACAAGAGTGACCACTGGTGAATTTTGTCATTTTCCAAGGCAGAATGAAACATGTGCTCCCAGAGGAGCAAAGTGCCTGGAAGGGCAGAATAGGAGGAGTTGGAAAGTGGGGGCTCCTCAATGTGAGTGGAACCCCAGAACAGCAGACCTGGTAGGGAGCTGAGGTGAGGAGAGTTTCCTAGAGAAAGTAGTGTCAAAACAAGGGCTTTCCTCAGCCTCCTGGTGGCTATGACCTGGTGGCTATGACTTAAACTCTCTCAGGCCGTTTCCCATCCACAAAAGGGCACTTGAGAACAGAGGATTGCGAAGGGTGTTAAATGAGAATATATACAGTGCTTGGCACAATCACTGTCTTAAAGCTAGTACTTAATAAACATTAGCTATTGTTATTATTAAAATATTATCACACCATTCAAAGCACTAAAAAAACCTTTTCCTGATTACAAAGATAATTTATAGTAGAAATTTTGGGAATGGGTACTAGGAATTGAAACCAGGGCCTCACTTATGCATAACATGAATTATTGTGGAAACTTTTGAAAATGTAAACAAGGGCTGGGGATGTGGCTCAAGCAGTAGCGCGCTCGCCTGGCATGCGTGCGGCCCGGGTTCGATCCTCCAGCACCACATACAAAAACAAAGATGTT